GTGGTATATGAAGAATGCCGGCGAGTTCTTTCAATACGCCGAGAATATCTTCAGCGGCTCCCGAGGTGAGTGTGAGCGTGACAGTAACATTTTCATTACTTTCCGTGCTTCCTGGAGAATCATCAAGTTTTGTTTTAAGTGGTGAATTGGTGTCCACGCTTTTAATAGATTTTTGACATTCTTCTTCGTCTTTGACTTGATACAATGATAACGGCTTCATACGTATCGGTATGGGAGCAATCAAAGGTATTATTGGAGATATTTTTCCTGAGGGTGTATCGCTATCATCCTCATCATCGTCGTCATCGATAAACTTTAGCCCAGGGAATCTTTCAGACGGTTCGATCTCGAATCCTTCTGGACTAGAACAGCTGATGATGCTATCTGGGGTATCTGTATCTCTCTCTTTACAAATGAAATCTAATTTCTTATCTTCGGGATCTTCGTCAAATATTATCGGTGGGAATTCTTGGTCATAGAAGCCTCGCTGAGTGGTAGTAGCTTGTTTTTCTGGTATCGGTTCTTCATCGCCAAATGGTTTAGTATTATAGTAATCGGCGACGTTAGGTATTTTAGCATTCCCAAACTCTCCCACAAGATCGCCTTTCAAAATGTCATAATCTTTACTTTTTAATTTAGTTAAATCACCAGAACCAAACAATGGACAAACTGAAAAGTTAACGCCTAGAGTGGGTTCTTGAATTTGCATTGGCGGTAAAAGTCGTAATTGAGTCATTAAATTGTCGATAAATGTATCATAGTCCTCTTCATATTTAGAACCTTTTCGCGGTCTTTTCTTAGCGTTAACAGAGCTCAGGTTACTTTCAGCAGCGGCCTTCATGTTCATTTGCATTTGTTTGCGTTTCTTCTGCTGATATTCTCGTCTTTTACGTTTTTTTGCTTCGGTGGCAGTTTCGGGAGCGTTAATTTCTGAGGTCGAGTCCATAGTCACACTTTCAGGATACTCTTCTTTCATTGGTTGATCTAATTTTCCTTGATCGGATGCAGTCGAGATACCGGATGTTGCCGATTGTTGAGAACTTTCATCTAACAATTCTTTCTTAACATCCATCGGTGTAAATGGCCTGTGTACTGGGCTTTGTTGTGGAGGTGCGACCTCCTTTTTAATTGTAGAGTTAATTTGTTGATTATCTAAATTCATCGAATACATTGGCGTCGATTTGATTGTGGGTGAACTTTCTGGGACTGGTGTTGTTTCTTCTTTGTACATAATTTTTATTGGTTGTTTTCTTACGTCCATTAATGACTGTGTCGACGTCTGACTCAGTGGTGAAATGGTTGATATAGGAATTGAGTTTTGAGTTGGACGATTATTAAAACTGGAACTGACGGTAGTCAAATGTCTTGGAGAATTATTTGGTATCTCTACTTCTTGGGTTAATGCCAAAGTCGGGGGTGGTATCGAAGGTCTGGCTAGCTGAGCCTCTAAAGAGGAAATCGTGCCCAAAGCAGGCGCCGTCCTTTGTATCGTCATTGTTCGCTGTGGGACCACAGCCGCCGCAGTGGTCGTTGTCTGTAAAAGTTGCTTTAGAAGAACATTTTGTGACTCGTCGTTTCTTTGATTTCCAGCGGCAGTATTTTTATTTGCCGTGTTGTCATTTGGATTCGCTGTTGCATTAGGTTCATCCGTTTCCATGGGTTCGGATTTAACTGTTACAGATTCAACGCTATGCCTCTTCGTGGGCTGTATGTGACCGACAATAACCTCGCTTTTGGGTTCATCGGTAGACTTCGATCTTTTTAATGGTGACGTCAATTGAGTATGTAACAATTTTGACGATGTTATAAAATTTATCGAGCCAGGAGGTTGATTAGGCTTCATTTGCATTTGTGGCATTCGCACAGTGACGTTCGGCGCTGGTTCTTTATTACTACTCATTACTGCTCTTGACGTCATTACTAAAGCTGGTGGCTGACTGGAGCTAATGTTGTGAGAACCGAACGAGATGTTACTAGTACTGATCTGCCTAGTGGGTTGAAGTAAGGTGTGGCCCAATATACTGGTGGGCAACTGCTGTCCTTTTTGAAAACTACTAATACTTGTGGTAATAGTATTATTAGAATGAATCAAGGATACAGGTGCAGACGAATTACTATGTATTTTTGAAAGAGCTGGCATTTGGATTACTTGTGATGCCACAGTAGCAATTATAGTGTCTTCACTTTGTGAAAAAGATTGATTCGATATGAGAGAAGGCTGTGCAGGGGATTTCATTAATGTATTTTGTATGGGGGAATTTATTGGGGACACAGTAGGGGATCTTCTTATTTGCCCCATAGAGGATAATGTGTTTACACGTGAGCCCACCATTTGAGCTGCGCTTATGGGAATAGTTTCTGAACTATGAATAGAAGACTGTGGCTTTTCGATTCTCTGAATAGGAGATGGACGTGAAGTAGTTACTTCTACTTTAGAAGAAGGTAGCAGATTTTCAAAGTTCACTTGTGTTGGAGTGGTAGCGTCGTTATTTTTTCTCATGGTAGAAATATTCTGTGGCTCTAGTTTTGACGGGTTTGTATTCAACGAAGACATAATAGTGCGAAGCTGTTGAGAAACATTCGCCATGTTCGAAGTTAACTCTGCTGGTTGCGATAACGGTGACAATTGCGGCACGATGGTAGATTGCAGACTCAATTTCTCTTGTTCACGTTTTAATAGAACTGATGACTCTTGAATGTCCTTGTTGTCTTGTTTCGTTGGTGTATTATTGTTAGGGTTTTGATTAGGGACATTGAAGTGCACATTATGCTGTTGGGTTGATTGCTTTATTTCGTAGGTTTTCTCCTCAGTCCTGTTTTCATATATACAGAGCATATCTTCTAAACTCTCTACACGTTTTGTGTTTCCTTCGACTGCCTCTGAATGTTCTCGCATGGTTATATCATTAAGGTACCGCTCTTGGGACGGCGTTGGCGATGGTATCGATATCTGAACGGATTCTTGCGCCATATCAGATGTTATTTGCATATTCGAGTCGATAACCATTTCTTTAGTTTGATTTGCTATAGCTTTTATGGTCTTAACAACACTTTCATCTTGTTTGCCCTCTGTTGATGGATTTTGTATAAACGTGTTATTATACGATAGTAATAAATTGCCCTGCAAGTTGTCTTCGGGTTTGTCTTCATCATCCCCTTCCATAATGTTATCAGGAATTTTTTCAGGTATTGGATCTGGACTCTTTATGTCTGCCTTTCCTAAAAGAAGCGGTGTCCTATCGGTGATACAAAGTGTGTGAGGTAATTCAGTCTGCTGGCTTATTTCTGTCTCAATGTCAATATCTTTGCTTGAGTCTTTCATGATAGTGAAAGTTTTATGATCTTTCTGAGCTCCGTGGGATGTTAAGCTCAGCAAAGACACTGAAGTAGTAGGATTCTGTGAGTCATTATTATCAGCCGAAACAGTGCTATCTGGGGATGCTGCATCATCTTGGAATATTTTTGCTGGCAGCGTAACATCATGTGTTACCGATAAGCTGGATAGTTTGGTGTTAGACAGTGACAATGCAATCGGTTTTTCTATTGTCTTCACAATTTTTTGTTTCACTTGATGTTGCGTTAAGATCGACACCGGCAGTCTGGATGCTCCCGCGTTGGAAGTTGCAAGACTGATCACAGGATTTAAATTTGTTATTTTAGGTACGTTTGAAGATATAACACTTATTACAGAACTGATTGGCTTAGAATGTGGTTGGGATGACATATTAACTGTAAGAGGTGGATTTGTCAGATTAAGTGGAACTTTCTTTATTTGGGGTTTAGGACCACCGGCATGACCAGTTACACTGGCAATAGGCACTGCGAGATTCTTCAACACTGGTACAGAAATAGTTTGATTAGCTATGGAAACTGAGGCAACAGTGGCTTGTGACTCGTTCATAATGTTTGAATTAGCATGTTGCGACAGCATGGCGGCGTTGAGTACCGGCAGCCGGGAGAGCGCCGAGCTCTGCGACGTATTGACTATCTTATATTGCGAAACATTCGACGTCGGCTGCTTCGCAGTAGCGAGGCTTATTACGGCGACAGTTTTTGTGGTAGTTTCGGTTCTCGTTAAACACTTGTCCTGATGGGAAGTGTCTTCGTCTATTTCATCTTCCGGTTTACCGCTATCTATCAACTCCTCAAAGTCCTCCTCGGTGGCGATGCGCTCCTCAGGGGATATAGCTCCGGGTTCTACGACAACTATGTCATCATCGTCCAGATGTTCTACAAATTCCTCGACGTCATCGTCGTTATCATCTTTGGAAAAACTCATACGCGCTGCATCATCAGAGGTCGCTGCATATTCTACTGCGTCGGTCGAATAAAGAACATATTTTCGTCCATCGCTAGTTTCAGCGATTTCTTCCGACCTTTCGCTGGGTGCAGCAGTTTTTCCTGCGAAGCGCGGCCGAGGAGGAGTCCGTCTTTTGAGTATCGATACTTTATTTAAGTGAGAAGGTTGTCGGCGATCTTCTTCTTTGGGCCAAACGGGTGCGCCGCCAAAGAGTCCGATTTTGAAATATCTATATCCGGGCGGGTACAGCAGCACCTTGTGCGGGCGGCCGCCGCCGCGCTGGTCGTGCGGCGCCATGTGGTGGTGGTGTCCGCCGCCGTGCTCCTGGTGCGGGGGCGCGGGGGAGGCGGCGGGCGAGGCGGAGGGCGTGGGCGTGCGCGCCACGTGCGGCGACCGCGACAGCGACGGGGACGCCGGCGCTCCGCCCATCGGACTGTACTGCTGCCTCTGCAGCAGTTGTTGGCGCTGGAATTCATTCAAATTATAAGTAATGTAGATTCATTTTTTTACACTTTTTTATTGCGATGTCACTTTTACATGCAATTAAGATACAAATGAAACTCACGGCCATTTCGTTAGCAGTGTTGCCTGGAGATGGCAATGGTTGTGGACTGCCGAGCGGTGACGTTTGTTGACGACTCCCGAAGGGTACACCGACCCTCATACCTAAAAAAATATTGAAAATTTTTATTTATTTATTTTATTTTA